TAGTCACTAAGAATTACTTTAGGTGGAATGTGTATATACTAGAAAAAATACCCAACTGCAGCTACAGATAGCTATTACATGGGGTGCTGATTAAGATCCAGAAACAATCGACCGAAAACATGTTCTCCACAAATAGTCAATATCTACGACCTTGCTCAATTCATCTGCCTCTTCCAAATTTGGAACATTTTAAACAATTATAATCAACTTATTTCCAATACAACGGAATTATTAAACAATACCTTCATTTCCTGTGCTCGCTCCTGTCCTCATAATTCACTTTTTATGGATATCTTATTATTGGGCAATGAGAAGATCTCATCAGCAGTACGTGGAAAGAAACCGCATTAAACACCTTCAGCAAACTCCTACACAACTTACAGTAATTTGTTGCGATGTAAACGAACGTCTTTTATAGTCAGCTCTGTTCTCTCCTACAAATAATTGCAGTCTACGGTATTTATCTAAATCCCTTCGGTGCTCATGGCATCATATATGTTTTCAAAGACTCTTTTTCTGCAAGTGGTAGAGTCCTCTATTAGCATGAAGTCAGATGTAGCGTAAGGAGATTGATCACTCGTTTTCCAAAATGATCTCTTGTCTTTTCCGGTGAAATACTAACTCGTACCACAACCACTGCATGGCGGGAATAAATGCAGTCAGTACTGAATTCATGTATTTCCCACCCTCAAAATTAATCAGTAGTAGAGCTTTAGGATGATCACAGTTTAATTCCACATATGTCCTTATAGTATGGATTAAAGCTTCACATCCGCCTTTAGTAACAAAACCGAGCTGTCTTGGTTGAAAATTGCCGTTGCCGTTATTCTCTGAAGCAGTTTCCAACTGCCGTATTCCTTCACATTTCCTATTTGGGGCGCATAGTGAGGCGCCGTATAAAATATCAAGAATGTGATCGGTGATGGCTGTAAGAAATAAGTTCTTTTAAATGTTGAGGTCTTATCCCGTCAATGCTTGTTGAAGATCCCGAGGGAAAGCTTAATATTGCATGGCGTACATCCCTGCTTTCAACAGGTAATGGAATACAGTCTCTAGAAGGATCGAGAAATAGTAGTGGTCTTAAAGGAGCTAGAAGTCGGTTAAAAGTAGCATCATCTTGTTGGGCTAGAATGTAATATCGGACTGCACCTCTTATGTCACTATTAGATATCTTAGACTCAAGGTGATAGGGAAGTAGGTTTAGCAGGACGCTTTCAAGTTTTAGGAAGGTTTAATGGTATCATTCCAGAAAGGTTTTGCTTAATTGGCGAGAGTCTTATTTTATGACATGGAGTGTGAAATTTTAAGAAGAATTTAAGGTCCATCCCTGATTTGAGGGAGGAGGCAGAGTCAGCGGTCATAGTTGCTGAGGGATCCAATCGTTTGGGAGAATGGTATGGACTTCCGGATGTTTCGTGTTAATAAGTATCTTTAAGCCGCGTTCTCATTTAAAAGTCTTAGGAGGGTCGGAAGGAGGATAATGCGGGTATGACATTAGGTTGGCTGAGTTTTGGATCTTCAGAGAATATGGAGAGGTACGGATATCTTCACAATCAGTACATATCCAAGGCGTTAATTTGTCTTTACTCAGGTCAAGAACTTCCAATATCTGAAAGTCTAACACAGATGGAGTAAAACCAAAGATTGCAATATTAACACAGCAAACTATATTTCAAGTATGAAATGGTAGCGCGTGAAAAGGATTATTCGTAGAGACTTGTTTTCAAGTAGTTTACACAAAATTGGCACGTTTATCGCGTAAAGGAATTCATGCTCAAATTGAAAAGACTTATCTAAATTCATTCGGCATTCAAATAACCACGTACGTCTGCACTATTGAAAGATTTTCCGTTTATCATGTGACATTAATTCTCCCAGACCCTTTCCAGCGCACTCACAGTACTCACAATAACTAACACCTAATCTTAATCTATGGTATTTGTCTTTTAGAAATACACGATAAAGGAACGTGTACCAAGACAGAAGCATATTCAATTTCTTAGAGTTTATGCTTTGCATCAGTTACAAATGGAGATTTTAGCAAGTAAATCTATCCAGTAGTGTCGTTTGAAATAAGCTTTTCCAAGGCAATACATTAATATTAGTTACGCCTTATAATGAATGTGTGTTAAAAACGTTTACTAAAGCGTACGATTACAAAGTAAATGCGACACGAAGCTTACGGCTGAAAGCTAAGATACGCACGCTTTTCAGATTCCAAAAACTTTGATTTATTCATTTCATGTCGCTATATCTCGAGACATCTTCCTCCTTTGAGTACAGTAATACTGTTGACAGTAAACACAGCCCAGAGTTTTTGGCGGATATAAACACATAAAAATATACATACGCTCACGAACTTTATCATTTTATATATCTTTCATTTTTCGGTTAATTTAATCCGATGTATTATCCCTTTTTATTGTACCATGTAGACGCTCTACATCGTGCCAAGGAGTGAAATGATTCAATAAGTATGGTAATATGTAATATGTAGCAGATAAGATTGGTTTACGAATAGTAAATGTGGAGACAACTTAATGTAGTTATACAGTGGAATAGTAATAAAAGTAAACTAACCCTTAGACGAGAAAAATGCAACTACCAAATTAAACGTTGCGAACTAATTTAAAGCTTACACATTTAAACAAAGTATCTATCATAAGTCGGTGCCAGGAAAAATGGAAGGAAATGGGAAACCTTAATAAGAAACTGCATCTTTTCCTCTTACTCGGTCACTTATGTTTATAAAACTGTCGTTATCTATATAAGTGGGCACCATTGACTTTATTACGCCAATTAACTATTGACTATTCATTTGTCCATACAGTCCGAGCTGCAGTCTGTCCCGAAAAGTTTTATACAAATGGAGAAAAAGGTTATCTGACATATCACAAAAAAGTACTCTTAATAAAAAGTTAAACTCTACATTACTTGTAGACCCATAATTTTGAAATAATACTACACCAGTCGCCGAAAATGGAAAAGTTGTTAACCGCCTATTTAGTTCCTTAGAAGAAGATATAGGGGGTTTTTGTATTTGACACACGAGACGCATTATATTATCTCTTCCTTTACTAATTTACATACATCAAAAGTTAAGGCAAAAATCTGTGTAGGCGTTTCTGGTAATTTACCGTATGTTAATAGCGAATATTAAGCACCATTATCGGACATGTAATGTTAAATCGTAATTTGCATGGATTTAAGTTTTATACTCCTACGTAATTACAATAAATTCACCCAATTCAATGCATATTTTTTCTTGTCTAAGTAGTCCTTGATACATGGTATAGCATCTAAGTCCTAAGACCCCCTCGGATCATAATTCCTTTACCATAAAAATTGTACACAATTACCATGTATCTAAAATATTTCTGGTCATCAGTGGCCTACTGTATTACACCGGCGTATTAAACTTACGTTTTTCTTAATGGTACTCCCCATATTTTTGAATAATTGGAAAGTAATTGAAGAGTACTTATTTTTTCTCTTACATGTTTATACCCTTAACTTTAATGATTTTGCTGTTATAACCTTTACTCCTCAAACTAATATATTTTCGAGAGCAACCAAATCACACCGGCACTTAAGTTTTGCATTAAGGCACAGGCTACGGCCTCTTCTCTTTCACATACCCTTTTTCTACATTTGTATAAGACTTTGGAACACACTATATACGTGATACGTATTGTTTCTTGCAATACTAAAGAGCGGCAGAGCGGTATTCATGTGGCCTATAGGTCAACTGTGTAAAGTTTGAACCGAATCGGTTCACAGATAGACACCATCGACTCCCCTTAAAAGCTTTCCTTTGGCTCTACCGCTTAATAACGGAAGTTAACGTAGTAATCAATATCAATTTTGACATTTGTTTGTTGTTTGCGGCCTACTTTGGCATTTATCCATTTTCCACGGCCTACTAGCCACTTATGTATGAAAAGTTAAAAAAAAATCTACCAAAAGAAAATTACCAAAGATAGATACGATATCCATGTATCGTTAGAAAGCCGATGAAATTTCACATTTAACAAAACAAAAAAGTGTGGAATTGCATTTGAAAAAATTAGGGTATCTATGAATAAAATTGTCTAAATTGGCGAATCGATTTCAAAAATCGTAAAAAAAATTCGACCCTGCCTGCCCGGCCTACATTGGTACATTTTATGGTAAGTAATTCCACAAAGTCACAGCGTACCTACTAAATTTGACAATTGACACTTTTTAAAAAATATCCATTTACAGCTAAACCGTTCGTTTTATATGATACACAAAGTTACACTAAAATTACCCGAGGAATCCAAATATGCAATAACATACAGGAGGTTCCATTAAAAAAATTGGAACTTTGATATGAATTACCTTGTATAAGGGTTCCGATTGAAGTAAAAATATTTTAGGTTTGTAGCGTTAAGGGTTCGCCACCATGGCCAAGCGGAAAACTTCCAAAATGTACGTTAATAAATCTCACGAGGATCAGTCCACACACTATTGACCCATTTAACATGTTATTATACATGCCACTCGGGCACTTTCAGCTAGTTGATTAAAAAACACTTTCCATTCTTTTTCATTAAATCAAAGTTTGCATATGAAGAGAGAATTTGGGAGTTGGTGGTAGCAATTTTATTACCCGGTATACTAAATCTGAACAACCTCATAAACCAACTCCATTGAAAGAGAAATGTGTGAGAAACCTTCTAACAAAACGTTGGGTATAATACTACAAATGAATCATTGTATTTATTGAATGTTTAGTTCTAAAATCCTAAAATGCGGGCATAATGGATTTAAATTCAAAATACTGTAACTAAGCCATGAAGCGGTTGTTCTCAGGGATTGAGCGACCAATTTATAAACGTTCAATAGAAGGAGTAATCAAATATCCTAGGGTAGGACAATTGATTACTCTTTCTGATTGCGCCCTAATGATTTTCTAGAGCCTCCTAAGCAGAATTTTCCGTACATGGAAATGTAATTGCGATAAAAAAGGCACTTACCCATTATTTTAAGTTTAAAGCCACAAATTCAAACCTGTGCTACCGGAGTGTCATTTTTGGAAAAAAATCCTTTTCGATTGAACCTATTCACATTATCTTAATCGAACTGACGTAAACTAGTGTGCAGAAGTGTAATTATAAATTTCTACAATTAGGAGAGTTACTTGACGATCTTTAAACACACGCGGAAGCTTTGATCGCCACATTAACTAATAATATTGTCGCGCCACTCTAAGCACTGAGCTGAGTTATTAATTAAGGAAAAATTGAATTTGTCGCCGTTAATAGCCATAAAAGTTTAATATGAACGTGATGATTCAAAACAATTCACAATATTTCAATAACTAAAAAGCAATCACTTCGCTCGCAATTGTTACTCATTAATTAACAGCACAACCGCATATGCGCAGCTCGTCCATATTTTGCTCATTTCTGTACTAACATATGAATATGAACTCGACTTTTGAGAAAATTGCCCATAAAACGATTATTTTGGAGAGGATGCCCATGCAGCTTTATATAATCCCATTCCAAATACGGTTTAAGCAAACAAGCTTAGAAGATTATTTCTCCTATAATTAAAAAACCTTGACCCTAACAAGGCAATTGAACAAACCGCAACTTCACACGTACTCTAATCCTTAATAAATTAAAACCTAGCTATTCATAGCAGCGGCCGTAAAATATTTCAATCTTTTTAGTTTCTAACACAGTCCCACAAAAACACAAATCAACTTAAATTGAAATGAATGGGAAATTTTCCAGTAGGAAATTTTGACGCTATTGAAATTTACGACTCTAGAAACTCGAGCCAGTTTCATTCGCTTATTGCTCACGAAAGTAATACCTATAGGAATGTTCTTGCAACAGTAAATAGATATAAGATTATTATAGTCTTTTTAGGTCACTGTAATTGGGTACATCTGGAGATGCTTTTTAAGATCCGGGTGAAAACGATCCATTCCACGGCGAATTGATAAAAATATCATAACTACGCAATCTGTAAGCTGTAGATTAGTTCGGAAAGCCAGGGAGAAACCGATCAAGATAAGTAAAACCAAAACGACCGCGGTAGTGAACAGGAGTTTTACGCTCTGTTTGGAAATCTCGTTCTCGGATTTATAGGGAAAACATCCGTCCAAAGATAAGCGCTTATTAAAAGCACAGCGTTTTCGAATTCCGTCTAAAATATCGTGTTCCTAATATCACAGATTTAAATAGTATATTTAAATCTGTGCTAATATGTAATACCGTAATAATTAACATTTAACCCTCGGGATTAAAAAGAATTTATCAAAACTCAAATTACCTAATCATTATGTTCATTATTATTTGTGGAGGGTTTGAGGATACTTAAAATCTGATTGACGCTTTTTTAGATTGGGTATACTCTTTGATGACCGCCTATTGTATACTGTAATTTTTCATTTTTAGAAACCCCTTGATCTTGTTTTGCTTTTGTATGCAAGAACAATAAACAAAACAACATCAAAAAGGAATATACTGCCCCCCAACTTGAACGAAATAAACGTCGTCACTATCGTTAGATTGCACTTGTATAATACTTCCCCATCAATTCCAAAAATCATGCTACGACACCGAAAGTTCAAATACACAATACATTTAATTTCTCTTTCTTGTCTCTCACTGGTGCGAGAAAGGGAGACTGCTAGACTGCTCCGAATACTTTAGATTTTAGAAAATGCTTCCCAATACGTACGCATGCTATATGGCTAAAGGCTAACCAGTAATTTTCACATTCATACCATTTACTAAACGAACAATTTTTTTCCCCCTGCGGTGGAGGCATCCATTGGGCGCATCCCTAGGTGACGGATAGAGAGACGCCCATACACACTGAATAGTAACGTGACTTGTGCTTCGGTATGAGTATTGACGATTATAAGTGGCTTGGGGGCTAAAACCCAGACTGGTAGCGATGAAGGTTCGTCGAAAGAGTTTTACTCCTGAGACGGCGCCTTCTGGCCATCGCCTTCTGTGCGCCAGTCCTATTCTTCTTGCGAATAGGAGCTGGCCCACCAGCAGGTCCTTCAATAAGGTCCTGCGTTGGAACCATCCCCTATTCGCAAGAAGGATAGGACTGGCGCACAGAAGATGATGACCAGGAAACGCCGTCTCGAGAGTAAAACCTCGCGCCAAGGCCTAACGTTGTGTCTGGGTCGTTGGCTCAAGAGGACGATCCGATGTCAGGGACCAAGAGTCTTAGAGAGGTTATAAGAGGAAAGCAATCCAGAGTCTGGCTCAGGGCAGCCTGAGAAGAGGCCTAAAGGTTCTGGATGTTGAGGGGAGGGGGGCTTTCCTTGACTGACAGGGTTCCGCTAGAATTCGCAGGTTACCATTGCCGCCGAATACGAGGATCAGTGAACCTTGGACTGGTTGGAGAGGACCGTCCCTCAAAATGCAAAATCCTGGTTTCAAGACGAGCTTATGAAGGACGTTCTTCCGCAGGAAGGAGCCTGCAGTACTTTCAGGCACACGCGGGGGTACTTTGTGATGAAAGCGACAGTTAATACTAACAATTTACTTTTCCTCAAAATTTGCCACCCCTAAATTTTGCCGCTCTAGGCGCGCGCCCTGTCCACCTTATGGGAAATACATCGTCAAATCAATGCTATTTCTATATCTACAAAGGGATTAAATACAGTGAAGTATAATTGGTGACAAAACGATAATGAAAAGGAAGAAAATTATTAAGAACGTCAAAACTCACGGCGACCTCAAATAGGCGGAGAGAGAAGACTCACAACATTAAATTTCGACAGTATGCGAATAAATTTGTTTGAAAATCTTAACACATAGTATTAAAATTACCAATCATACTCAAGGCGTTCCCCTGTTAAGAAATAACCTAATACGACAAGGACAACGTCTAAGGAACCTACTACTTCCATACTCAATCAACCTCATTTTTCTCTAGTGAATTTGATTTATTTCCACTGTGCATCATTTTCATGAAGTTCTACTCCCTCATTGTACATCAATTACCTATTGTGTCGTTTTAAAACGTCCCTTACATCCGCTTTATAACTACTATATTTCTCTTTCCACGTTTTACATTCCTTGAACTCGTTGATCTTACTCTTTCTGTAATGTTTGCATTGGTACTTGAGGGTGGGTGATGATGCAAATCAACGAGTTAGAAAAGAGTTTATTAATAAATCCAACTAAAACCAGGCGTCGTTGCCACAATAATTCAAAATTGTTTCTCACCGAAACCTTCAGCTCTTAGTTGGAAAACCGACCCGTGTGGGACAGTTAAGTTGAATCTCGACTGCGGTACTAAGGGTCCCTGGTTCGAATCTAGGTTCGGGTATGGATATTTGTAAATGTATAGTGGGTTGGGGTGGTAGAGCAGCCTTGGCTGAAACCCCGCTCACTCAAAAATAAAGCTCAAAACAAATAAAAAACCCAAATACATTATTTATACCTCCAAGACCTTGGTATCGAAACTACATTGCTAAACTAAAACCGCCTCAACATGTCTGTCTTTCCTATATCTACGTTTTCATAATTATTTCTTCAGTTAATTCATAGGATTTCCAGTCTTCAGGATTTCTTGTTTTTTCCATATATTGTTTAGAATAACATTTTCCTGCTATTTTAATAATTTGCCGTTCACTGTAGCGCTCAGATGAATGTTTTCTCTAACATACACCCTTTGATACGTTGCGGCTCTATCTATATTCAACCTCAATTATCAAACATACTCGAAACGGCAAGTAGGAACGGGATACGTGACCACTTTTCGAATTTTCAACCTCGTTTTAGTCGCGTCGTATTGAGTTAAAAGTACAAATTTCAAGGAAACATTAAATTAAAAAAAAGATCCTCGCACAAGGAACGTTTGTCAAAATTAACATTATTTTATTGTTACTTAATTACGTAATTTGCATATACGGAATATTATCTAACTTTGATTTTATTGTCAAAAAGTAATATACAGTATGTACACCGAACTAGGCTCACCCCTGTAATTTTGGCACAACTGGCGACATGGGTGTACAATTTTCGTGGGTGATAGGAGTGAGATCGAATTGATTATTTTCCTGCCACTTCCGGACAATTTTACACCTGATAATACATCATTAATTGAAAATAATCAAAATATCTATTTATCCATTTCAAAAAATTGTTTAAAATTTTGTTATTGGATAAAATGTGTAGTAATGTAGAGTCAATCAAGTGCAATTTTTTTCGCGGTCTCCTAAATTAAAAAATAAGATTTAATTATTTTTTCGACAAACTTAGTGTAAATTACTGAAAATAACGTATCAGGTGTATTATAGTTGCATATAGAATCCAAAAATGTGAAAATATACAAGGTGGCCCGTTTAAATTTCAAAAAAAACTGGAAGTGATACTATTTCGAGCATTGAATTTGTGTCTACTCTCAATATTGGCCAAATAATCTTTGTGTTGGAATAAAAAAATTAAATATTCGCATACACAGTGTATGAATAACAATAATGACCTAAACGTCAACCTGATGAAATTTGATGAGCTTTCATATGTCCAATTTCCTTAGCTCAACTACATTGCGGTATGGATGTATAGATATAGGTATCTATACGTCAAAATTTGAAACAGCTTTAGTCCTTTAATTGACCCATAAGAGAAACATGCTTCTCTAATACAAGGTTCCATTTCATGGCGAAGAAAGTATGTCAATAGAAGGGCGGACCAAACGCTTTTATTATTTTCTCGGAAATGAACAAACAATCAATTCATTTGAATGAGGGACATTGACAGGAACATTGAAAATATGTACAACACTGTCCAGGGTGATGGGAAGGCGATATAGAATAAATAATCGGGACACCTTTACAGTGTAAACGAAAGCCTGCCAATTTTACAAGAGTTCACATTAATTTACAGCAACACAGAAACTACACAGATACTGGGGTAACAGGCATTACCCCTTAAAAAGGTTTTGATATCACGTTAAATGAAACACGTTCACAAATTAAACACCGAGTCCCTTAGTTGTCCGTCATAAAGTGAAAAATTAGATAAGATTCAGCAACAATTTCGGGGTGGCTTTTGGGTTATGTGCATACAACAAAACGTGAACTTACCATCTCGTTTATCATGCATGTCGGATTAGTTTAAAAAACGAGTACAACTCAAAATAATCTAAAATCCGCAACATTCACGAGTTCACTAATTATTTTACTCACAATCGGTAAATTGAGGAGATAACTAAGGCAATAAGAGTGGGGAATTTACGACAAAGGAGCTATATAGTAAATATAGAAAAAAATGAAC